CATTCCTGGGGTAGCAAAGCCGTTTTTTCCTTCAGGTTTTTTAAAGAGTTATTTGACCGCCCTCCAGAAATGCTGCTATAGCCCTCCCTGTGGCTGGGGGCAAGTCCTAGCAGACACAGGGTCAGACCTCTGGGTTCCTCTGGCCCTGCTGTGCCACTGGGCTTCCCAGCATCTGGGTAGACAGACTGAGAGGAAGTGGCCTGATTTCCTGAGTGCCCTTCTGATCCCATCTTGGCCAGGGAGACAGGTCCTCAGCAGCCCGGCCCACTAGCACGTTCTCCCAGATGGCAGAAGCAAGACCCTTGTGCCTCTGGCAGGGCCCTGAAAAGGAGAAAGAGTGGGGCCAGAAAGTTGCAGCACAGCCTGCGCACAGACGGGGCTCAGATCTTGCCTGTTGTGAGTTGGCCAGGCAGCTCGTACCCAGTCCCCAGGCTGAGGAAGACAGTAAGGTTTAGAATCAGGCAAACCAGGGAGTAGATGCCCCCAGGAAGAGGAAAGGGGTGGCTGGGCACCAGAAGCTGTGCCTAGCATTGATGATCATCTTGACCTGCACCTTGCAGGTGACTCAAGTGCTAACAATAATGGATGGGCTCAGAGCCCCCCACTGCCCACCCAGAGCCCTCCCACTCTGTGCCGCTCTGGGTATGGGATGTGCTGTGCATGTGCAGGCAAACATACTTCCCTTAACAGTGGCATTGTTCTCTGGCACCAGGCCCCTCCCCAAACTCTGGAAAGAATCCAGGCCAGCCGAAACCGGTTTGGCTCTGTGGATAGAGCGTCGGCCTGCGGACTGAAAGGTCCCAGGTTTGATTCCAGTCAAGGGCATGTACCTGGGTTGCGGGCACATCCCCAGTGGGAGATGTGCAGGAGGCAGCTGATCGATGTTTCTAACTATCTCTCTCCCTTCTTCTCTGTAGAAAATCAATAAAATATATTTAAAAAAAAAAAAAAAGAATCCAGGCCAGCACCTGAGGAAGCTTTCTGCATTGATTTAACCCACTCTTATGCATGGCACTGACCCCTAGTCTGGCCCAGTTGTCCCAGCCCCACCTAATGATTACCTCTGACCTGATAGGTGCGACTGCCTCCACCTGTCAGGCAGGTGGCTCTGTTCACCCAGCCCTAGCCTATGGCCCCCATTCATCCCAGAGCTACCCTCTGGCCACCCTCATCATCACCCTGTGCTAAGACCACTCCTGGGACCTGTGCCCACCCCCAAACTGAGCATCAGGCCATGGACCACTCCTGTGGCTTCAGGGTGGCTTTCTGGGCAAGGTGGTGTGCTGGGTGGGTGGCTTGGGCTTAGCTCAGGCCCACTGACTCCTGTGGGCAGGGTAGAGCCCTTTTTCTAGGGTCTGCAGTGTGAACTCATGGACATAGCCCCTTGACCCTGTCCCTGGGAGGCACAGGAGAAGCTACGGAGTGATGGGGGTCAAGAAAGGGGACAGATGGTGAGGGTAGAGGAGCAGCTGTGGGGGTTGTTGCCGGTGAAACAGGCTCCATGGCAGAAATCACCTCAGCTGTTACAAGGGATTTAAAAATATATTTTTATTGATTTTTTACAGAGAGGAGGGGAGAGGGATAGAGAGTTAGAAAAGCCTCAATGCAGAACATCCCTAGAGGCTGGCCTTGTGCTGGGCGTGGGTCCTGGGAACGTGGACTAAACCCTCACATATATGTCCAGGGAGAGCATAGCCTCATCCTATGTAATAAAAGGCTAATACGCAAATTGTCCCCTCAGCAGGGAGTTCGACCAGGAGATGGCTTGATAGGCCCTGATCAATAGGCCCTGATCGGGGCAGGCCAGCTGGACCCCACCCATGCACAAATTCATGCACTGGGCCTCTAGTTAAAAATAACACTCTTCAGGTGCAGGTGGGGGTGTACTGCGGGGTGGCCTCCTGCCCAGATGCCTACCATCTAAGTGTGAAACCAAGAGAGGGCTTGGCAAACTGCTCTCTTCTCACAAAGTGATAAAAACCTCTTCATCTCAAAAAAACAACAACGGAGGAGTAGACTAGATTGTAGTTCCAGGTGATATGATCCAGGCAGGCCTTGTTCCCTGTCCTCAGTCCCCACCACGAGCCTAGCGTGTTCCCCTTCATGACTCCAGCCCAGCCCTGTACGGGGCTGCCCTTCAGGTTCCAAAGTCCGCCGCCTGGTAGGAAGAATGGGAGCATCATGTGGAGCTCAGACCACTGTCAGCAGAGAGATGTGCAGGCAGGTTCAGGGTTTCCCTGGGGGCCATCAGTCTTCCTCCTTTATGGCTGGAGACTAAACACCCCAGGGACTTGGTTGCTCTGCACTTACACAGCTGTGGTTGAGAACATACATGCCCACATAATGGAAGGGCAGAGGTTCTGGGTCCAGCAGGGTCCTGCAGTCTCTCACTGCCTCTCTGCTGTCCTTCCATGTCCTTCAGGCAACGAAGCCTGAACCTTTTGCAGATCTTGTTTGCTCTTTGCAGGTTTAAATGGGACCTGCAACAGCTCAAGCGTCCCCACGTCAACTTCAGAGACACCAGACTACTTGCTGTGAGTACTTCCTTTCGGCTGGCCGCTCTTCTTCAAGGAGTTTCACCCCTGCCTTCCCCTCCCCACCCTGCACTGCAGCTCAGCAGTGACAGGACTAAGTCCAAGTCCCTGGGTGCCAGTTCCATCCCTTCGGCTTGTTCTAGTCCAGGCGCCTGCTTGGGTGAGGCTCTTCCTGGGTGTGGCTGGCTATGCAGCCACAGGCACTCCAGCCTCTCTACAGCAGCCCCTGAGCCCCACCGTTCTCTCCCTTTTCCAGAAAATATGCCACTATCTCCTCCTCAGAGCAGCGCCAGAGCTACAAGAATGACTTCAACGCCGAGTACAGTGAGTACCGAGACCTGCACGCCCGCATTGAGCAGATCACACGGCGGTTCACGCAGCTGGATGCCCAGCTCCGGCAGCTCTCCCAGGGCTCCGAGGAATACGAGGTAGAGCTCCCTGCTGGTACCCTACCCTGGGGAGATGGGTCTGTTTCTCTCAGTCCAGCTAAGCCCACGGCCCCCAAACCTATCTGCTGCCCTCGGTAAGGAGGGGCTGAGCCAGCATTTTGACCCCTCATGGACTGACAGGTGGCCGTCCCTTGCTGGTCAGTTGGTTCGGGCCTGGGTCTGGGCTCTGCCATGGGAACCAGAAGGCTCTCAGCCTAGTTGGCCTCCCCTGCAGTGGGGACATTGGCATCAACTCTGCAGGTGGAACATGAGCCCTGGAGGCAGGGATGCTACTTAGAGCAGCCAGGAAGGCAAGCCAGGGAGTGTTGGGTTGCAGCACCTGTGTCCTGCCTGTGAGAGTGTCTGGGATCCTCTCTGCAGCCCACTACCCACAATTCGGGACACCCTGGCCAGGAGGAGAAAGTCCAGGCAACACTGCACCACATGGCCCCTCTGTGCACCGTCAGAGCCACAGTGGGAAGTGGGGGGGGATGGAGTGTGCCTGTGGTCTTTCACCTGTACTTATGGCTGGGCACATGGTCTCCCTTAGCCCCATGTGGGAGCGCCCTGGTCTCCAGCCCTAGAACACCAGCCTCCCTTTTGAGCCACCTTGTCACCTGACTACAGGACCAACTCTAATTAATTGGGGGATCAGAGTCTGTCTCCAATGGCCAGTTCTGTTTGGTTTCCGGAGGAGGTGGCTCTTGATTGGAAGAGCGATGGGGACCCTGAGGGTCTGGGACAGATGAAGCCTCAGGATATAGCAATCCTCCTTCCTTCTTGCTCCTATGTGGACATGCCCCAGCATCTCCCTGCATCCCCAGGTGGTCAGGGGCCTCTGTGCTTAGCCTTGAACAGTGGACAGGCCAGCTGAGGTGCAAGGAAAGGAGGGTATCGCCTTGCTCTTTGCCCCCTCCCACTTTCTGCCTTGTCCCTGAGGCTGGGCCCCTGCACCTTGCCCCCTGGTCCAGCTTCCTTCCCCCAGCCTATCCTTCCTCTGTACTTAGGTCAGCTCTCCTCAGGGCCACCTGGAGGCTATTGTCCCCAGGCCAGTGGTGACATGCAGGTCATGGGTTATCAGGGAAGCACCTCACCCCCCTCACTTGGAGCTTCCTGCAGGTGAGGTCATTGTTTTCTTTCTTTTGTTTTCCTGTAGACTACTCGTGGGCAGATTTTACAGGAATATCGCAAAATCAAAAAGGTAAATATCCACCCCGCTGTGGGGGTGGGGGGTGGGGAGCAGCCTCTCTCCGTGTACCGCAGCGCCCTCCGCTCTCCCACTGCTTGGTGAAGCAGCCCCTAAAGGCAAGGAGAGGAGGCAAAGTTCCCAGCTTCAGCTGCTAATTGGGCTCGGGGCCCCCTCCTTGGGATCCCTGGAGATGTGTGAGGTAGCTCCTTGCCCATGCCTGGCCAGGGTGATACCAGCTTTTATTCCTGAAGGCCACTAGCTGTGGGATCGCCATGTGTGTGCTCTGCATGCCAGCCGGTTCCTTGCCAGCCAGGCCCTAGCTCAGCCAGGTTTCTGCTGATCTTGCCTCTGACCCGCATCCTGGCCACGATCCCATTTCCCAGGGTAGGGCCTGGGGCTTGGGAGGGAAGCCAGCTGAGGTCTCTGGCCCCCGGTGGAGCAGGGGTCCCTGTCATTGCCCAGTGGGCACTGGCCTATAAGCAGGAGCAGTGGCAGCCTGAGGTGACAGGTAGACTAGCATCTTCACACAGGACAGCTCCCATTACAGCCGTGCTTCAGAATGCCAGTGGCTGCAGGATTGGCTCACCCTGCTGCTCTTTTGCAGACCAATACCAACTACAGCCAGGAGAAGCACCGTTGTGAGTACCTGCACAGCAAGCTGGCCCACATCAAGAGGCTCATTGCTGAGTATGACCAACGGCAGCTGCAGCCTTGGCCCTAGCCCCAGCCACAGGGCAGGAGCTTGCCCTCCCTGGATTGACCCTTCTGGATGGCAAGGGAGCTGGGGCTTTGGGGGTGGGGAGAGCTAAAAAAGGGGAAAATTTTTATTTAACAAAATAAACACAAGGAAGACACGTCTATCTGAGCCAGCAACGCCGGCTTTCAGGGGAGGCCCTGCAGATCTGGCATCCACAGGACACAGATCCAGGTGGGGTGTCCCGATCCCTGAGCCCCATACCTCCAGAGCAACCCCCATCCAGGACACGCTCCCCAGGAAGCCCACCTCTTCGCTGACTGCAGCCCAAGGGGCTTCAGCTTCCTCTCACCAGAAGACTGGGCTGGCCTGCCTGCCTTTTCTAGTTTTATACAAAGACAGCCACTTTTAGCTACTGCTCATGAGACTTGAGTCTATTTTTGTATGAAAGAGAAAGCATTTTTTTCTAAACCTGTGCCTCCCCTCCGTGGACGCCCAGAGTCTAGACGCTGCCCTGTGTCCTTTCTGCAGTATTACAGATGCCATTGGAGAGTTGGGCAGGGGATCAGCCTTGGTCACCTCTCCCATGCTGGGCTCTGGCTGAGTGCCTGGCCAGGCTCTCCAGGCCCAAGCAAGGGTGGGCGCTCTCTAAGGGGGTGTGCAGGGCAGGTCAACCCCCAGGTCTATTTTGAGAACTCCAGCTGGTCCCCAGAGCAGCTGCTGGAGCCCCTGTCCTGTCCTCTATTTCAGGCCCTCAGCTGTTGGGGCACTAGGCTTCTCTGTGCTCCAAGCTCATTATGCAGCAACAGTGCTGGACTTTATTTCATGTTCTCCATTTCCCCTTTGCTGCTGCTTTTTATGTTGTACTGTTGAGACCTCACTCCATTCCTCAGTCCCCTTGTGGGTCCTGGGGTGGTCTTAGCAGAGCCACCATGGGGTATGCACTCAGGGAGGGGCTGGGGGTTGGTGAGGTCCGGGGACCTCCGAGAGTGAGCACAGGCTGTATGGATACCCCAATTGCTGCTTAGTCACTGTGCCTAGTATAGCGTCCTCCAGAGCATCGGGGAGCTGTGTGTGTGCGCGCGCGCAGCCCCGGGCACCAGGGCGTGGTGGGGTCTGAGGTTTGTACATAAGATTCAGAGCCACCCTCAGTGGGTGGCACATGGCTGTGACCCACCCCCCACAGGGAAGCGGCAGTGCTCACAGCATAGCTGTGTAAGCTGTGGGGTGTCTCCTGATGTTTCCCAAAGAGAGGTCCCTTGTGAACACCTGCACTGTGCCCACCCGACAGTCTCTTCCACGGGCCCCCGGGTGTCAGCACCAAGGAAGCTCATCCTTCATGTTTCACCAGCTGTTATGTTGTTTTTCATTTGGGACATAGTGGGTGAAGAGCTGAGCAGACCCTGGACCCCAAGTCGTGCAGACAGCTGTGTTTGTGGACAGGCAGTCTGGTGACAAGGGATGTTTAAGGAGGCCCAGCCCTCTGCCCTGGGAACCTCGTCAAGGGACTCTCCATTGAATTTTCTTTTTGTTGTTGTTTTTCTTCCTTTTAAGGAATTATGAAGCTAAGAAAAGTTTTGTGCTTTGGGGGTTGATGGACAAAAGTTCTAGCTGATTAAATATGGTCTTAACTTATTGATACTGTTATTTCTTTTTAATATTGTACTGTGGAGGAAAACTATTTGAGCCATGGAGTTGGTGTTTACAAGAACTTTTCACTTTTGCCAAAATGTTACAATTGAAAAGCACCCACGTCTTCAGTTTCCTAATATTTTCTTAAAGATCTAGTGTCCTTTTTGTACACTAAACAGGTGAATGCTGATTTTTCAACCTACAATAAATTTCACTGAACTGAGCCTAGCAGCCCAGGCTGCGTAGGTGTGTTGGTGTGTCTGTCACAGCCAGGTGGCCCTGATCCTGTGTGGAGCTGGGCTGGGATCCGGCGATGGTGATGGGGTAGAGAAGGCATTCTAGACAGCCTGCCTGAGCCGCTGCCAGCAGGTGAGCCCAGCCTGAGGCAGTGGGCCCTCCAGGTGCCAGGGCAGGAGGCTAAGACGGCCTGGTCACAGGTAAGAGAAGCGGGAGAAGCTGGGAAGGCAGGGTCCTGGGCAGCCACAGCAGGTGTCTGAGTAGGGCATTGCCCTCCCTGCAGCTACAGTCTGGATGGGGTGGCTGAGTCAAGCAGGGGGTCCCCCAGGCTCCAGCAACACCATGTGGGATAAGTGGAGCATTTGGGGAAACAACTTGTGATCGATGAGAACTGGTGAGTAACTTTATTAGTTCCTCCTAGGCTGGCACTTGGGGGTCCCCCCTGTGCCGCCAGTGAGGACAGCGTTCTGAGGTCCATTGGAGCCCCTCAGGCCCAGGACAACAGTGGGATGCCATCCTTGACCCATTTTCCAGGTGAGCCAAAGACAGAGGTCCTGGACTCCAAGGACACAGTGGGGGTCGGAGTGGGCGTTTATTTTGGGAGAGAAAAACAGATAAAGAGTAAGACCAGGATTAATGTCCAGGGGTCAGGGATGTAGGCCTCAGCCTCCCTGGTGGCTCCTTGGCCAGCGACCTTGGCCTGAGTTCTGAGGAGGCTCAGGAATCCGAGGGGTGTGGAAGGCAAGGTCAGGGGGGCCTGGCAGGGCAGAGTATACCCTCTCCCCACTGGCCTGGCTGCCACATTCTTCCAGGGGATAACATTGCTGTCCCTGTCTCCACCCCCCAAGGCCCAGGCTGACACCTGCGTCTGGTCCTGTCCTGTCACACCTGCCCACCCACCTCCCCCCTCTGCCAACCTTGCCCATAGCACCCCACCTTGCCTGGTGCCACCCTGGCCATCACCTCTTTAGTGTGCTGCAGCCACAGGCAGTTGGTTCCCTGACCATCCTTCCTAACTAAGGACACCATGAGTCCAGCCCCCCCCCACCCCTCGGGGCCCAAAAGTGTCTCCCCCCCTCCTTGAGACTATATCATGGCTGAAGGGCTTGATGCTCCCCACCCCCTCCTGCCACTTACTGAATAACATTCCTGATTGTCCTCCCACCAGCATCCAGATCCCACAGCCCCTCCTGTGCACCAGGCTCCCCTAGGCACTGGCACTCAGCAGTAATCAAGATAGCTCTGTCCTTGCCCTCAGGACACTGGTCTCTGGTGTAGACAGTGGTCTGGTCTGGTCCCCAGTTGCTCACCACCTTGCCTCCAGGCAGCACTCACCTGGTGTTGCATACCCAGCAATCCTTGCAGTCGGCTTATTAGGAAGGAATAGTTCCAGCTGTTTCCAGCTAACCCCAGCACTGCCTCTCCATGGAGCCCGCCTGGGCCTGCTCTGCCCCACCAGCTTCCTACTGGCTAGGCTTCCCCAGGGCTGCATCTTGGGGCATTTCTCCTCTCTGCACAGTCCCATGACGTATCTGGCCTGGAGGTGCGAGCTCCCTCTGATCCTCTGACTCCAACTGGATGTCCAACAGTTAATTTCTGGGGCTGGCATCACACCCACAGCTTAAGCTGCTCAGTCCCACAAGACTGCCCCCCACCCCACTTCAGACACCAACCACAAGTCCCCAGCCACCCATACTTCTGAACAACTGGCTATAAATTGGGGTTTCAGACAACCCCCGTAGGTTTGGTAATTTTCTAGAATGGCTCACTGTTCAGAAAACCACTTCCAACAGCCAAAGGGAGGAGTTGCAAAGGGCAAGATATGGAGACTAGCACAGGGCTTCCCTGCACGCTTTGTGTGCCACCTCCCCAGCACCTCATGTTTTCACCCAGATTCTGTTGTTTAGGGGGTTATGGATGCTGCATTCCATATATATGATTGAGGAAATCACTGGCCACTGATCAAACTCAAGCTCTGCCTAGGAACCGGGACAAAACCCAGATACTTACACCGTATTCTCCGTCCCCAGCCCTGAGGTCTGCCTTGGTTCCCCACACCACCTTCCTTCCCCTCCCCAGCCGCTTTTTCATCTGCTCCTGAATGCACTCCCCCAGGTTTTTGTCTGGGCAGCTCTTCACATCTCTTGATAACAGATGTCTTCAGATCTGAAGACCCCTCCTAGCAGCCACCTCCTACAGGCAGCCTGCCCTGACCAGCCCTCCCTCCGAGTTCCCTCCAGCTAGGGATGCTCTAGTCCACCGGTCACCAACCTTTCGGACCTCATGGATCACCAGTGGTCCCGCGGACCACCGGTTGGCGACTGCGGCTGTAGTCCATTACCAACTTCCCCACCCTTTGAGAGCAAAGCCTGGGGCCAGTCTTAGAGCCCTACCCCCCCATCCCCACAAGATCAGGCCCTGACCATGTTTCCTGCGAATGTTCCCAGCTATTCACCTTTTGGGCCAACTCCAGTGGTGGAAACTTTTCAGCCAGAGGAGGCTGCTTGTTTTGGAAAGTTCCTGGGGGAGCAACCCCCGCCTGCCCACCAGGTTCCCACGCTCCCTTATCACACAGTGCTAGCAGGATGCAGTGGTGTGCAAGCCTAGCTCCTCCCCAGCCGGCTGGCCGGGTCCTTCCCATTCCCATTTCTCCCGTACCCACCCAACAGCCACCCTCCCCAGCCTGGCCCTGCCAAGTCCTGCTACAGCTGGGGAAACAGAACCCGTGGTGTCCCAGGACCCACACCCCCACCCCCCTGTGAGCCGTCAGAGGTCCCCGTGCTTGGCTATTACTGAGGAAGGAAGGGGAGGCAGCCTGGGCTGGAAGAGTGTCTGGCTTTGAGGTACAGTCCTAGCTCAGTCTCCTGCCTCAGTTTCCCCAGTAGTATCTCGGACCCAGGGACACCCACCCTCATAGGCCCAGCAACCCTGTCTTGTAACTGGGGCCTGGTGCTCACCTGCAACCTTAATGTCCTCTTTTGTGAAATGGAGCTAAGAGGCTGGGCTCCCTAACAGGCTGTGGTGAGAAGTGAATCCACACTCCCCGTGCTGGGGCCGGGGTCTTTAGCCCACGTAATGCCCGCCAGCGCCTGGCGGGGCGGGAATGATAGCCTCCTGGGCCGTGCGCTGTAAGGCCTCGAACCCGAGTCCAAGGCCACTGCCGGCTCTCCCCCACCCCCTCCCCAGCGCGGGAGGAGCGAGAGGCGGGGTGAGGGCGGGGCCTCGGCTCTTTTCTTTAGAGTTCGAGCGCCCTGAGCGGTGGCACCGCCTGTCTGAACCGTCTCTGCGCCGGTGAGTGGGGCTCTAGATGGGGTGCGGGTCCAGGGAATCAACTGACTCTGCGCTGGTGAGTGGGGCCCCTGGTGGGGTACGGGTCCAGTTAGAGCGTGGTACCCACACGCCAAGGTTGCGGGTCCCTGCCAGGGCACACACAAGAACCAGTCAATGAATGCGTAAGTGGAACAACAAATCGATGTTTCTCTCGCTCCCTTCCTCTCTCTCTCAAATCAATAATATAAAAATAAAAGTCCGCTCGGCTTGTTCTCGTGTTCCCGCTGACTTCCGGCCAACCCCCTACCGGCAGCTCGCTGCGATGGAGGCTGCAGCACAGTTTGTGGTCGAGAGCCCCGACGTGGTCTACAGCCCCGAGGCCATCGAGGCGCAGTACGAGTACCGGACGACAAGCGTCAGCCGCGAGGACGGCGTCCTCAAGGTGGGCTGGGGGCTAGGGGACCCAGAGAGCCAGGAGGTGGGGCGATTGCCCAACGTCTGCGGCTCTGGGCTCACTGCACTGCCCGCCCTCAGGTACACCCCTCGGCCACGCGCTTCACCTTCCGGACCGCCCGGGAGGTGCCCCGGCTCGGGGTCATGCTGGTCGGCTGGGGCGGCAACAACGGCTCCACGCTCACCGCTGCCGTGCTGGCCAATCGGCTGCGCCTGTCCTGGCCCACCCGCACGGGTCGTAAGGTGGGGGTCGAACTGGGAGCTGCGGAAGCTAGGTTTCCGCCGGAGTCCAAGCAGGAGATTGGCTCTGAGGGGATGGGTCCACGGGGAGGGGCTTCCACGGGGGCGGGACTCCAAGGAGCAGAGCCTAAGGTGGTGGCTGGCTCTGGAAAGGTACCTCCAGAGGGCGGGTAGCTTCCACCCCAGCTTGCTCACACCACGCCTACCCGCTGTGTTCCCACCCCCAACCCTCCACCGCTGCCCCCAGGAGGCCAACTACTACGGCTCGCTGACGCAGGCTGGCACCGTTAGCCTGGGCCTCGACGCTGAAGGCAAAGAGGTGTTCGTGCCCCTCCACGCGCTGCTGCCTATGGTGTCGCCGGACGACCTCGTGTTCGATGGTGGGCGGGGCTCTGGGCCGGGCTTGGGATGGGAGGCGGGGCCTAGAGGGGCCCAGCTGCAGGACCTGGATGAGCCTGAGGGTCGCCCCCAGGCTGGGACATATCTTCGCTGAATCTGGCCGAGGCCATGCGGCGCGCCAAGGTGCTAGATTGGGGGCTGCAGGAACAGCTGTGGCCGCACATGGAGACCCTGCGCCCAAGGCCCTCCGTCTACATCCCAGAGTTCATCGCAGCTAACCAGAGCGCGCGTGCGGACAACCTCATCCCTGGCACGCGCGCGCAGCAGGTGCAGCACTTGCTCCCACTACCATTTGCCCCTCCCCCTGCCACCTGTTTCCCATTCGCCCCACGTTGTCCTCCTTTTGTCCCCCCGCCCCCATCCCAAGGGTCCCGGCTCTCTTTGCACTTGGGGAGGTCAGTAGCCCAGGCCTCCACCGGGGATCTGTGCTATCTTCCCCCGCTCCCTAGCTGGAGCAGATCCGAAGGGACATCCGCGACTTCCGGTCCAGCGCGGGGCTGGACAAAGTCATTGTGCTGTGGACAGCAAACACGGAGCGCTTCTGCGAACTGGTCCCAGGCCTCAATGACACCGCAGAAAACCTGCTGCGTACCATTCAGGTGGGTGCACCCAGAGTGGAGCATGGTCAGGGCCAGCCCCAAGGACCCCTCCACTGACTGACTGTCTTCCTGTGCCCGCAGCTAGGTCTGGAGGTGTCACCCTCCACGCTCTTCGCTGTGGCCAGCATCTTGGAGGGCTGTGCCTTCCTCAATGGGTCCCCACAGAACACTCTGGTGCCCGGCGCACTCGAGCTGGCCTGGCAGCGCCGTGTGTTTGTGGGCGGAGATGACTTCAAGTCAGGCCAGACCAAGGTCAAGTCTGTGCTGGTTGACTTCCTTATCAGCTCGGGCCTCAAGGTGGGCAGGCCCGGGGGGTTCCTGGTTCAGGGGGGTGGGATCTAATCCTGAGCTTCAGGCTCCTGAATTGCTCTCCCATTGTGGGGTCTGCAGCATCCTCATGGTCCTTTGTTCTTGCAGCCCATGTCCATCGTGAGCTACAACCACCTGGGCAACAACGACGGGCAGAACCTGTCAGCGCCGCCGCAGTTCCGCTCCAAGGAGGTGTCCAAGAGCAATGTGGTGGACGACATGGTGCAGAGCAACCCAGTGCTCTATGCACCCGGCGAGGAGCCTGACCACTGCGTGTGTGGGGTGCAGGCGGCGGGGAGGGGGGCCCCTGGTGGAGGAGGGCAAGCCATGTGACCCAGTTCCGCCCCCCAGGTGGTTATCAAATATGTGCCATATGTGGGCGACAGCAAACGCGCAATGGACGAGTACACTTCAGAGCTGATGCTGGGCGGCACCAACACGCTGGTGCTGCACAACACCTGCGAGGTGTGGAATGCGGGGGACGGGAGTGAGGACCCCCCCACACCTGCCTACACCCACCCACCACCTACACCCACCCACCACCTGACCACCCACTGGCCCCACAGGACTCGCTTCTGGCCGCGCCTATCATGCTGGATCTGGTGCTGCTGACAGAACTGTGCCAGCGCGTGAGCTTCTGTACCGACTCGGACCTGGAACCGCAGGGCTTCCACCCGGTGCTCTCCCTGCTCGGCTTCCTCTTCAAGGCGCCACTGGCTCCACCAGGCAGCCCCGTGATCAACTCACTCTTCCGACAGCGCAGCTGCATCGAGAACATCTTCAGGTGTGCCCCGCCTGGGGGAGCCCACGGCGGGCGGGGAGGGACCTGGGTCCTGTGTTCATTTGGAGCCAGGCTGCTCACAGGGCCCTAAGGATCGGAGGCCCTGCTGAAGCCCCTCCACCCTCCAGGGCCTGCGTGGGGCTTCCGCCGCAGAACCACATGCTTCTGGAGCACAAGATGGAACGCCCCAGCCTCAAGCCCGTGAGGCGTGTGGCCAGTGCCTGCCTCGAGTCTTCCAAGAAAGAATGGGCACCGTCGGCCGCCAACAACTGTACTGGTGATGCCAACGGGCACTTGCAGGTTGAGGCACCTTGATGCACACCACCTGAGGCAGTGGCCATACAGCTCCCCGCAACTCCTACCCCTCTGCCCCTCTGCATCCACCCTTCCAGGCCTCCCAAAGACAATAAAGTCATTGCCAGTATCAGCTGCACCTGTGGGTCTTGGGGGACTTTGACCTAACCCTATCCATCCCCCAACTTTTCACCTCGTAAAGATACTCAACTACCCTTCAAAACTTCTCCCAATCCTCAGGGACCTTCCAGAACCCGCTGAAGGTGGGGCTGAAATCCCAGGGTGAAGGACGTGGCTACAAGCCAAAATGAAGTAGTCTTGAGACCAGATACCAAAAACCAAAACAAGTTACATTTATTAATGGGTGCTCACCCCTCACTGCCCAGGGGAAAGGAGGTCCAGAGGAGTCCCCCAGGACAAAGTAGAAACGGGTGAGGGTGGGGGTGGAGCCCATACAGAAAAGAGCATCTCTGAGGTCCTTGCGTTTTTGTTTTTAATAAAATGAGTCCTTCATGCGGGGCCTCCAAGCCTTGACCAGGAGTCCAGCTGCCCGAGGTGTGACCTCAGACCCTCCCCCTGCAGACCACCCAAGCCCCTGGCCCTTGGCAGGGGCTCTGGGCAGAGGAGGCGGCCAGCACTGGGCAAGGGGCTGCTGCCCCATCACACGCTCATGGTCATCCCAGGCGAGTACTGCGGAGAGACGAGGGGTGGCGCGCAAGGGGGAGGGGGGGCTCAGCTCCCGCCTAGGCTGGGACCCGCCCCCCAGGAAGAAGGACAAATAGACTGGGTGGGGCACAGGGGGAGAGGGGTAAGGAGCAGGGGTCCAGGTGAGGGAGGTGAGGCCCCTGGGGGTGGGTCACG